CAATGGGAGAATTCTTCTGCGGACCTAGCCACTACCTCTCGGGGAGGTGGATTACCTACACTGCTGGGAGAGCCCCTCCTGTCGGCGTAGGTAGTGTCTTCACTACACCAGCCACGGTAGCGGTTTATGTGTAGACAAGCCCTGAGAACAATTAACTATTGGAGCAACTTCCCTATCACTTGAATCCTTTACATCAGTGGTTCCCAACCAGGAGCACGTGTACCCCTGGGCAGGGCCGGCTCCAGGCACCAGCAAACCAAGCAGCTGCTTGGGGCAGCACATTTTCAGGGGCGGCGTTCCAGCCAGCCTTTTTTTTTTTTTTTTTGCGCTTGTGGCGGCAAAAGCCTAGAGCGGACCCTGGCAGCAGCAGCATGTCCTGCACAGGGGGCGCCCTGGGGCCGCTGCGGTTCTTGTCGGGGAGCAGGGCCCACACCTTATGGCAGGTGCCGCAGGGCGGCCGCCCCCCAGCGCCGCAGCCGGGGCTGGGCGAAGCGGCCCAAGCCACCCAGGGACTGCGGCAGGGCGGCCAGGAGCAGCAGCAGCAGCGGGGCCATAGTGGGGACCGGTGCCCGGGGCACTGCCGTATGGGGCCCATGTCCCGCTCTCCGAGGCTCCACTCTCCCTGGGGCTGCCCTGCCCCAGCTCCTCAGCCCTCTGCCAGGCGGTCCCCCGGCTCTGCCGTCCCGGGTCCCGGCCGGTCCTGGAGGCGGGAGCCCCGGCTGGAGGGACCCTGGGCTGAGGCGCGGCCTGGGAGCCCCGCTGCTTACCCCGACCCTGCCAGCGCCGGACCGGCTGGAGGCGAGGGGGGAAGCGGGCAGAGTCAGCACTGGTGGGGGGAAGCCCAGGGGTGGGGTGGGGGGGAGAGCCCGGAGCGGCCACCCCAAGCACCTGCTTGCCAGGCTGGTGCCTAGAGCCAGCCCTGCCTCTGGCAATACAAGCCCTGCCTTCCAGCCTTCTGCAGGCCTCGCTCTCTCTTTACAGGTTAGCGATAGGCTCACTCCAACCTCAAGTCCTCCATGGTGTTTCCCTAGCGTGCCCAGCTCCTGAGCTACTGGACTCTCACAGAATTCCCAGATCCTCTGCTCCCAAAGGAGCTGTACACCAGAGCTTTCCAAACACAGCTCTGCTTAACTCAAAGCACTTCATTTGTTTATAGGGAAAGCAAGTATAATTTTATTGAACCAAGACCAGAGATTCAAATGATAGCAAGCAGCAAGATTGAAAACAAGGGTTACAGATAAAATAAAGGTTTCAGAGTTGCAGCCGTGTTAGTCTGTATCCGCAAAAAGAACAGGAGTACTTGTGGCACCTTAGAGACTAACAAATTTATTAGAGCATAAGCTTTCGTGGGCTACAACCCACTTCTTCGGATGCATATAGAGTGAAACATATATTGAGGAGATATATATACACACACATACAGAGAGCATGAACAGGTGGGAGTTGTCTTACCAACTCTGAGAGGCCAATTAAGTAAGAGAAAAAAATCTTTTGAAGTGATAATCAAGATAGCCCAGTACAGACAGTTTGATAAGAAGCAAGTGTGAGAGTTGTGACACACACATTACCTAAATGTCTGATATGTGTAATGTTTAATCTTTTTTTCCCTAATCGTGTCATCTTTCCCCAGAAATATGACTGCAGTAGAGAATATTACTTGGATGATAAACAGCACAGATGTTCATTAGGACCTTGTCGGTTTTGTTATTCTCTGCTCTTTCTAAAAAAAATAGAGAGAGAGAGAGAGAATAATAGTGTCTCAGATTTAGAGCATTTCAGACTAGTGAAAATGCCACTGCAAGTCTAAGGTTTGGATAATGAAAACCTTATCTGGCTAGAACCTTAACGATTATGACAAACAGGCTTACTTAGATCCATATTTTCCCTCATCTGCAAAAAAATCATGGAAGGGGAATATTTAGACTGATACTACTGTGGAGATGTTGCAGGGAAAAATTAGCTGCAGTCTTCCCTGCTTGTAGCAAGGAAAGTGACAGTGAATAGAGAACAGGGACTGTGCCCTCTCCAAAGCAACTAAGATGGAGATGTATAGAAAATATCAGGACAAACCCCAAAGATGAAGACTGCAAATCCACATATACATTCCCAGGGCAGGTGTGCTCGCCAAACTCCTGCCATCGTTACTGGCAGCACAACTTACCCAATTTCTTGGGCTATTCCACTTATATCATGCAATTCCCACTCCTCCCCAGAGGCTCTATGGGGTGAGCAAACTAGTACCACTAAGATGGACTCCCATATTCAAATCATCTGCCTTCAAGTCCCCATGATACAATATGAAAGAAATACTACAATAAAATCACTTACCAACTACCTCTAAAACAACTGTTCCCTGAGCATCAAAAGGGGTGACAGTAACGTGGCAGGTATATGTTCCTGCTTCCTTAAACTGTATCTGTGGTAGAGAGAGTGCAGCATTTCCTCTTCTCAGGTCACTGTCAGACATACTGGCCCCATTTCTACGAGGAAAATGTTCTCCAGTCAGAAATGTGAATACTTCCTCTTTTTGGTCTGCTCTTGGAGGTTTAAGATACCAGGTAACTCCCACATTCTTGATATCCAGTTCTTCTGTATTGTACCCAGAGATCGTGCATGGTATGAAGATGTTATCATTCAGTGACACTATTTGTGGGGTGCTTCCCATCAGCACTTGAAGAGTTTCTTCAAAAACAGAAAGTATATATTTTGAGTAATACATCCTAAAGGCAAGGTTCCTTTTAAAGCAGTTATTTGGCTGAAGGATCATTCAATATTTTAGTAGCCTGTTTCCTCACCCATAATCCCCTGTAACCTGTCTCAATGGAAATCTAATTAAAGCTTTCCTTCCTAAATTGATAATGACTTTGTGAACAACAATTTTTGCTTTTATTTGAATGAAATAATAGAGATAACACAGGCTAGTTGGGCGGCCCAGGCCCTTAGGAACTACAGTGCAGGAGAAACTTTAGAAGTGAATACACTGCATATTACATGTAATACACTGGAGCTTTGTGGTAGAACTACAGCAGCACCTAATGGAAGAGAAATGTGCATTCTATCCATCCATCCATCCCAGGTATTTATATGGACCCTATTACCGTAATAGCTGAGCACCTCAGACTCTTTTATGTATTTTATCCTCACAGTACCCCTGTGGTAGAGAAGTGCTATTATCCCCATTTTACCCATGGGGATATGATGCACAGAGAGACTGAATGACTTGCCCATGGCCAAGCAGGAAGTCTGTTGTGGAGCAGAGAACCCAGTTGAGTCCCAAGCTAGTGCCCTGAGCACTAGACTCAGTGTCCCAGTCAGAAGCCACTTGTCCATCTCCTCTAAAGAAAAACTGTGCTGCTTGGTCCCCATCACCATTGGGGTGAGGGGAAGAGGGACACAACACCACCAATTCCTTGTCATAGAATTATAGAAGTGTAAGACTAGGAAGGGACCTCAATAGTTCAGTCCCCTGCACTTAAGGAAGGAATAAGTAATAACTAGATTTGTTTAATCCAGTAGTTCTCAACCCACAGCCCGCAAGCCACTTGCGGCCCAATTAGCACACAGCTGTGGCCCATGTGACATCCTCAGGGCCATACAGGTAGTTTATAAATTGTGTGGATGCAGCCCACATAACACATAGAGAGCTGCATATGTGGCTCACAATGGTAAATAGGTTGAGAACCACTGGTCTCACCTGTTCTTGACCTCCAAAGACAGACATTCCTCAACCTCCCTCAGCAATTTGTTCCTGTGCCTAACTATCCTGACAGGAAGCTTTTCGCAATGTCCAACCTAAACCTCCCTTACCTCAATTTAAGACCATTGCTTCTTATCCTATCCTCGAGGTTAAGGAGAACAATTTTTCACCCTAATCCTTGTAACCACCTTTTATATACTTGAAAACTTATCATGCCCCCCTCAGTCTTGTCTTCTCCAGACTACACAAACTCAAGTTTTTCAATCTTTCTGCATAGGTCATGTTTTTTAGACCTTTAATCATTTTTGTTGCTCTCCTCTGGACTTTCTCCAATATGTCCATATTTTTGCTGAAATGTGGCACCCAGAACTGGACACAATACTCCAGTTGAGGCCTAATCAGCACAGAGTAGAGCGGAAGAATTACTTCTCGTGTCTTGCTTACAACACTCCTGCTAACACATCCCAGAATGATGTTTGCTTTTTTTTTTTTTGCAACAGTGTTACACTGTTGACTCATATTTAACTTGTGATCCCTTATGACCCCCAGATCCCTTTCTGCAGTACTCCTTCTTAGGCAGACATTTCCCATTTTGTATGTGTGCAACTGATTGTTCCTTCCTAAATGGAGTGAGTCCTTTGCACTTGTCCTTATTGAATTTCATCCTATTTACTTCAGACCATTTCTCAACTTTGTCCAGATCATTTTGAATTTTAATCCTATCTTCCAAAGCACTTGCAACCCCTCTGAGCTTGGTATTGTCCACAAACTTTATAAGTGTACTCTCTATGCCATTATCTAAATCATTGATGAAGATATTGAACAGAACTGGACCAAGAACCGATCCCTTCGGGACCCCACTCAATATGCCCTTCCAGCATGACTGTGAACCTTGATAACTACTCTCTAGGAATGGTTTTCCTGCCAGTTATGCACCAACCTTATAATAACTCCATCTAAGCTATATTTTCCTAGTTTGTTTATGAGAAGGTCTTGTGAGACAGTATCAAAAGCCTTACTAAAGTCAAGATATACCACATCTACCGCTTTCCCCCATCCACAAGGCTTGTTACTCTGTCAAAAAAAACTATTAGATTGGTTTGATATGATTTGTTCTTGCCAAATCCATATTGACTGTTATTTAGTAATCTTCTAGGTATTTGCAAATTCATTGCTTGATTATTTGCTCCATTATCTTGCTGTGTACTGAAGTTAAGATGACTGATCCGTAATTCCCCAGGTTGTCCTTATTCCTATTTTTATACATTGGCACTATATTTGCCCTCTTTTAGCTCTCTGGAATTTCTCCCATCTTCCATGAGTGTTCAAAGATAATCGCTAATGTCTCTGATATCTCCTCAGGCAGCTCCTTGAGTATTCTAGGATGTATTTCATCAGGCCTTGCTGACTTGAAAACATCTAACTTGTCTAAGTATTTTTTAACTTGTTCTTTCCCTATTTTAGCCTCAGATCATACCTCATTTTCACTGGCATTCACTATGTTAGATGACCAATTGCTACTAACCTTTCTGGTGAAAACTGAAACAAAAAAAGCATTTAGCATTTCCACATTTTTTGTTGTCGTCTTTTCCACTCATTGAGTAATGGGTTTACCCTGTCCTTGGTCTTCCTCTTGCTTCTAATGTATTTGTATAATGTTTTTTTGTTACCCTTTATGTCTCTACCTAGTTTAATCTAATTTTGTGCCGTGGTCTTTCTAATTTTATCCCTCCATGCTTGTGTTGTGTGTTTTGTTTTGTTTTTTATTCATCCTATGTAATTTGACCTAGTTTCCACTTTTTGTAGGAATCCTTTTTGATTTTTTTGAGGCTAATGAAGTTGTCCTGGTTAAGCCAGGGTGGTCTCTTGCCATACTTCCTATCTTTCCTATGCAGTGGGATAGTTTGCTGATGTGCCCTAAATAATGTCTATTTGAGAGAGTTGGCAATTTTTCAAACTGTTTTTCCCATGGGATCCTACCTACTAACTCCCGGAGTTTGCTAAAGTCTGTCTTCTTGAAATCCATTATCTTTTTTCTGCTGTCTTCCCTCCTACCATTCCTTAGAATCATGAACTCTATCACTTCATGATCACTTTCACGCAAGCTGCCTTCCACTTTCAAATTCTCAACCAGTTCCTCCCTATTTGTCAAAATCAAATCTAGAACAGTCTCTCCCTGGTAGCTTCCGCCACCTTCTGAAATAAAAAATTCTCCCTTCTCTTTGAGGAGACAGATTAATAATAAATACAGATAGATTCTTGCATAAAATCTATCTTTGGAAATGTCTCAGAATTCCACAGACTGTTTCAAAATAGCCAGGGAAGAACTCCAGGATCCCCATAATGATCTCAATCTTGGGCAAGTCTAAATGACAACAGTAATAGAAAGGGTGTCTCCATATACACATTTTTTGCTTGGCTGCCTATGGGCCTTCTTGGGGACACTGTTTCCATTCAGGTACATTTCTGCTCTTGTCTCTATTTGCTGCATTCTGTACACACAGGATGATGTAATGCAGTATCACCAAATAATATAGAGAACTGCGACATCAGTCTCTCAAATTGGTGATCTCCACCTAAGTCTTGTGCATTCACATTTGGTTCAGTGTTATTGATTTTCAACTTCTTGAGCTCAGGCAGTTTGACTGCTCACATACCAGGACCTTCGGGAATCCTTGTATAACACTCCATAGAGTGGAGAGATGACAAGAGATGGCATGTGCTGATAGGGTGACCAGATGTCCCGATTTTATAGGGACAGTCCCGATTTTTGGGTCTTTTTCTTATATAGGCTCCTATTACCCCCCACCCCCGTCCCGATTTTTCACACTTGCTGTCTGGTCACCCTATGTGCTGAGCCTGAGAAAGGTTACCAGGGGATAGAGTGGAGGTTGTGTCACTTTCTTACTGTACTCATTGCATTGACAGGACCTGCACAGATCATAGGAGGTCTGGTAATGGTCTCAAGAATTTAATTATTACTGCAGAATCCTGAAGCAGTGGGGAACCCACCATACCTATGCAGCCCAACTGCGCTGTATAGTTATGGAGACAACTTCAGCAGATGTGGAGGGGGAAACTCCTCCCTAATGGGTGGCCAATTAATTCATCCACACCCCTACCCAGAGGCAGAATGATTCCTGCACCGTGGTGGTAGTGGTGGAAGGAGGATATCAGCAAGGCAATGCATATTTATAGCGCCATGATGTGTGTGATGGTGGGTTGGTTTCTTCTCTCTTCCCACTGCCTCCAAAGGAACTTTAAAAGGAATGTTCTCCCCTAATGCAGCTCTTTCAGCTGACAGCACTGAAAGGGAGCTGGCAACCAGAGGAGGTGAAGAGGTGGAGAAGTAGAAGGATATTACAAAACAAAAAAAAAAAATATTTTAGAATACAGGGATCTTGGTCCCATCCTCCATACCACAGCAGGTGGCTGTGCGATACTGCAGCCCAAGTAATGGAGAGGGACCGGGATACTGGGAGCCCAATAGAGAGGCAAAAAGTTGATTTATGTGAGCTCCTCTTCCCTTCCCAAACAATTCCCCAACTTGCTTCTGTGAAGAAGGGGTGAGATGTTCCTGCACTGAGCCAACTGTTGTGGGATAAATCTCAGTTTATATGGCAGTGAGGGGTTACCCCATCCATGGCTACTGCATAATCAGCCCTAAGGATCTGGTCCAACAGGAATAGCTGGCATCCTTTTACAAGCCTATTTTTAGTGGTCATGCAGGGTATGTCTGCACTGCAAATGAAAAATGTAATTGTAGCACATGTAAGCGTACCTGTGGTAGCTTTAATCTAGCTAGTTTGGATAAAAGTGAAGTGTAGACATGTTGGCATGGCTTTCAGGATGGGTTAGCAACAAGAGTACATACCCAGAGTCCCTGAAGGACTTGTACTTGGGTTTCTGGCACAGGCTTCAGCATGGTCTAGCAACCCAAGTATTTTGTCATTTATACTTCCTGAAATTTCAGTTACTTATTGATTAAGAAGCAATCACGCTATGTAGGTTTGGGGTCTCGCTTGGGTCTATATTGCTACAAAATTTTCCTTTGTTTTATTCTAAATATCTTTTATTTTGGTGAAATTTCTAAAAATGTAAACTTACGTTGATTTTTTAAAATTAGCCTTTGAATAAAGAATTGAGAGCCTTGAACAAGGAACCAACTTCAGCTTTGAGTTAGGTGGGAGGATAACTGATTCCAGGGGTGAAAGTAACTTAAGAGACTTACCAGTATGCAGGGCAGCCGGAGTCCTGAGCAAGGTGGGGGGGCAGCTCAATCGGAAAGGGCGGGGCTGGGGCCAGACTCCCCCAGCCAGCCCTTCAGCGCAGCCCAGCGGTGATTTAAAGGGCCCGGGGCTCCCAGCTGCTGCCGCCGCCGCCAGTGCTGCCCCGAGGCTCCGGCACTGATTTAAAGGGCCCCAGCCCCGGGCCCTTTAAATCGCCACCGAGCCCTAGGGTTCCCGGTTGCTGCCGCTACCACAGCCGGAGCCCCAGACCCTTTAGATCATTGTCAGAGCAAGGCGGTAGCAGCGGCCAGGAGCCCCAGGCCCTTTAAATCACCGCCAGAGCCCCATAGTAGCAGTAGCGGCAGCTGGAAGCCCTGGGGCTCTGGCAGCGATTTAAAGGGCCAGGGGCCCCGGGGAAGCTGCCCCCTGCCGGTACAGTCGGCTGTGTACCGGCTCTTACCTGTACGCCATACCAGACCGGACCGGCTTACTTTCACCTCTGACTGATTCTGAGATAACAGGAAAATGCCCCTAAAACTAGTACTTCCTGAAGAGATGCAGCAATTTATCATTCGGGGCTAGTCTACACTAGAAGCACGGCACTACAGTGGAACAGCTGCACCAATGCAGTTGCACCGCTGTAGCGCAGCTGGTGAAGATGCTCTATGCCGATGGGAGAGAGTGATCCCGTCAGCATAATCACTCATCTCTGCGAGAGGCAGTAGCTATGTCAGTGGAAAAAGGTCTCTTGCCGACATAGCGCTGTCCACACTGGCACTTAGGTCGGTGTAACTTTCGTCGCTCAGGGATGTGGATTATTCACAACCCTGAGCAACGTATGTTATACTGAAGTGAGCTCTACGTAGACCAAGCCTCCCTAATGATACTTTCTGAAGTGATGTGAGCCAATATGGTGCTATGCGCGGGCATGGAGGGTAAGTCGTAGTCAGAAAACCTGAATCTACTAGAAGGGAGGTAGACAGATTCTTTCTTCAGGGTTTTTTTTTTGGTCTGAATTGAGTGTTTCCATCTTGAACAGTCAACCCAGCAACAGACCAGCATGAGTGTGTTGATATTGCAATCCTTCATGTGCTCTTGCCTACTTAAAAAGAGTACCAGCCTAGAGGTATGCAGCTTCAGTGGCAATAGCTTGTCCCAGACTCCAGTCCAACCAACTTATTTTTTATTTATATATAAATAAAAAAAATTGTACAATGAGCTGTGCTAAAATTTGTTAAAGAACCCTGGGACTCATTTATATGAGCTGCACTCTTTGAATAAGGTCAAATTTGCATTTAAAGACTGATCTTGTATTTACATAGTGCAGTTCATATAAAAAAGTCCCCATGTGTTTTTAACTAATTTAGGAACAGCTGATTGTACAAATTACTGATAGAGGGGAATCTGCTCACCATGTAACCAACTCTGTGGTTAATCACAACTGACTAATAGCATACAGCAGCCTACAACCCTATAGTGTATAGAACAGGAAGCACAGCAGAGGCTACCTCATTGAAAATACAGGGGCAATTTAGGCTGGTACAGTAGTGGCTTGAGATCTAATTACGTTAGACCTAACACTCAAACTCTTGCCATGAGAGCATAAGAATAATTAATAAACAGTGAAAAGAAGCACTCCGATACCAGTCAGGGTGGGGATTGTCACTGACTCACTAGCACCACCTCCCCACCGGGCTCAACCTCCAGTTGTGACATTTTAAACGAATGGCCCTTTGTAAGTTAAATATTAAACGTCTGGTTTAAACAGCCAGGGCCGGGGTAACCCTTGAGCCCCAGGGAGAGGCCAGGTCGGATTGGCAAACAGAGGCGAGAGAGCTTTGGGGAGGCTGGGCCCTGCCAGGGAATCGGAACACGGAGCAGTTACAGAATTAAACCAGACACCAGCTGTGCCGGGCAAACTGACCCCTGCAACCAGAGGGGGGAGCCCCTCAAACCCTCCCCATCCCACCCCGCTCCAGGGTGTGCGACCAGCGCCCCGGTCCCGCAGCTCCTGGTGCCTCTGCAGGCTCAGGACGTCAGTGACACTGCCCCCCATACCCCTTTGCCCAGGGGCACCCGCAGTTTGGCCTCATTCTGTACCGGGGCCTCCCGCAACTCTTATCGCTGTGGCCCGTGGATCTCCCTCCCGGCCGCCCCCGGCTGAGCGCTTGTTCACCTGCCAGCTGGAGCAAGCCGCCGAGACCCAGGAGCAGCACGCACCGCGGCCCAGCGGAGCTCCCTGCCCACGCCATGGCCCGCGGCCGATCCAGCCAGGGGGCGGTGGTCGCTCTGCTCTGTCCGCCTCGGATCTGAGCTCTGTCAGTCTGGTTGGCAAAGGGACGTGGTTTCGCTTTTACTTTCTCTCTTCCCCAAGAAGGGCGCGGTGCTTGTAGCCTCGGGACGGGGTAGGAGCTGGCAGGCTGCATGACTTGTACTTTGTACAAGGAAACACCAATCATCTTCTGACTTTGCGTTTGGGTGTCCCTCACGCAAACACTAAAAGCTGGGAATTATTTGTTTTTAAAAGCCCTGACCAACCAGCTTCCACCTCCCCACCCCATCCCCCAAATCGCTATCCCGACAAAAATGTAAAACCTGACAGAAAGGGTCACCCAAAGAGAAATGAAGGAATCTTGTAGCTGCTAGGCTACTGATAGCCTCTCTCTGGGAGACGAAAAATAGTCCAAAACTAGAGAAACGGCTTTAAAAATGTGGGAGGTTGTTATGGAAAAATAATGCACCAATTACATACCCAGCAAATTAGACATATGACAAATAGGTATTTAGTTACCATTTATTCAATACTCTAAGTACGCTCACCTGCAAAAAAAACCCCAGCACACCTGTCCATTATTCTTGAATATTAACATTCCATAGACTCACTGGTTTGAGAAATATGTGTAAATCAGAAATTTCAACTCCATTTGGTGAGATTACCAGCAACAACATGTCCTGGGTAGTGTGAGGAGAATGGTGGTTGCACCCAGTTGGGGGAGAAATCTGATTATTATATTCCTGTATAAGGTTTCTCTAAACAAAGCTCACTGTTATGGTGTTTATCATTTGTCCCTGATATTTACATGGCAATGATTTGTAAATAGATTACAGTGTGAAACCAATGTTTACTAATGTTAGTCTTAGAATTTTTACCAAAGCCAAGATGCATGGCAATTATTTAAAAATGACCTGTATATAATACCTATCGCTTAGTGCACCCCTAGACTGCTGGAGGAAGACAGAAGCAGCAGCCCTGTAGCTAAGGGGGAGCATGAGAGGTCACTGCCCCCCTGGAAATCTCTTTCCCCACCTCTCCTGTAGAAATAAGATGTGTTCCAGTTTTTCCCCCTCAGTTTCTGTCTGTTTCCTTAGATGAATGATTGTAGTCCTAAGGCCCAGAGTTGTAGTCACAATTCCAGTAGCCCATGAAGGGTGTGTTATTGACTGTGTTTCAACTAAGTGAGTGTGGTAACTGCCTTATGTTGCTGCTATAATAAAAGACACTGGTAAGAAAGTGTGTACAGAAACTGCATCTGCAGGGAGGCATCCAAGGTATATGAAGTGGCAAAGTGGGGACATAGGGCTCTGTGCTGGAGTTTCTACAACCAGACCCTGCCTACCTGTTTGGAGGGGGGAGAAGAGAGGAGAGAGTTCCTTTCGAACTGAGAGAGAGGAGAAAGCTCCTTTTGGAGTGTGTAAGAGAGCATCGATGGGCTGACCAGAACTAGAATGCTCCTGTAGCGTCCAGAAGAAACCTTAGATGAGCTGTACACTGTGACTGTGACATAACTGCAGAGCCAAGGAGAATCCCTAGATTGGCTGGCAACAGTATTGTGAGTATCATTTCTGTTAAAGCTGAAAAGGCCTTTTGTTTTCTTATAGGATGTATGCACACCCTGGCAGTGCTGGTGGAATGGGAGCTGCTATGGACTTTATAGCAAATCTGGATTTTGCAATTGGAAAAATCCATTTTCTCAAGGCAAAGGTTTAATCAAACAGGAAAACTGCTTAGTCCACTTGAATGCAGTGGCTGATTGAAGAAACCTAGAGGCAGTGACCTCTCATGCTCCCCCTTAGCTACAGGGCTGCTGCTTCTGTCTTCCTCCAGCAGTCTAGGGGTGCACTAACCTGCTTTGTTAGAGCACTGACTTCCAGGCTGTCTTCCTTGGAGTCCCTCTGACAGTGTACCAGTCACTAGAGTTCCCTACTTCTTGCAGATCCTACTTCAGGACTTTCCATAGGAGCCTGACTACTTCTTATAGTTCCTCTCTCTGAGGGTACATCTATCTACACTGCAAAACAAACAAACAAAAAACCCCTACAGCAGTGAATCTCACATCCTGAGTCTACAGACTCAGGCTCATGCTATGGCACTAAAAATAGCCATGTAGATATTCCCGCTCAGGCTCTGGCTCTGAAACTCAGGGAGAGAGGGGTGAGTTTCAGAGTCCGAGCGGGAATGTCTACATAGCTATTTTTAGCACTGTGGCGCAAGCTTGAGTCTGTAGACTTAGGCTCTCAGACTCACTGCCGCGGGGTGCAGTATAGACATACATTTAGTTCTCTCAGCCCTTATGGGCTATGTCTACACTACATTGTAAATCTGGGTCAATGGGATCCAGGCTTGTGGCCTGGTGTTTCCAAGCCCATACTTGAGCATTCACACTGCATTGTAAACCTGGATTTATAATTTCTGGACTCAGGTCTCATTGCCATGCTAATGTGTCCATACTGCACTATGCAGACTGTCTGATTTGGTTCTGTAGCTTTAACTGCGTCCATAATGCAAAATGACAGGGCTTAGACCCAAGTCACAATGGGACTCGGGCTCTGACCTACCCCTTAGCAGGACTTGGATCCAGAGTGCTTGCTGACCCAAATCAGACCGATTTGTGTGTGGACGGAAGAGGGACTTGGGCTCAAACCTGAGTCAGAGCCCAGGCTTAGGATATGTTTACATTGTAAAAATAAACCCTCAGCAGCGAGTCTCTGAGCCCAGGTCAACTGACAAGGTCTGGGGCGTGTGCTACAGGGCTAAAATTAGCCATGTAGATAGTCAGACTCAGGCTGGAATTGGGCTCCAAGACCCTCTCCAGTGGCTGTATTAGGCACCTGCATCCCATGTAACTGCAGGGGACTGCCTGACATGGTGACTCAGTTACTTGTCCATGGTGACAAATACAGCTGTAGTGGAGCCCGAACCTGTCCTACCTGTGCAGAGGATACCATTTTGTTGAGCAAAATGGCATCCTCCATGCAGCGTGACCTCACACATACAATGCATGGGAGATCACGCTGTGCAGAGCTGTGCTCAACAAAATGGCGTCCTCCACAGAGGTAGGGGCCCCGGAATTGAACTTTGCGCGGAGCCCCCATGGAACAAACGCTGCCCCCTCTGCCAGAGCCCAGTCTCCAGCTAGAGCACAAACATCTGCACTGCTATTTTTAGCCCCATAGCACAAGCCCTATGAGCCCAAGTCAGTTGGCCCCGGCTCTGAGACTTGCTGTCATGAGTCTTTTTTCACAGTGTCCAGGTACCCATAACGTGCAGGGTAAACATACCATTTGACATCCAGGTGTTCATCAAGCTCTCACCTGGCCTCATTAGTCCTCACCCACCTTCTCAGGTTGGGAGGCAACTGATTATGGTACAGGCAGGGCTGGCCCCAATGCCCTTTACAGAGGCAATCACCCACATGGTAATATCCCATCACATACAAAAATGAGATTAACATATCCCTAAATAAAAAGCTTATGACAGTGATTTGTACACTTGTTAAAATATCAGAAATAACCCATTCTAAAACATTACAAACCCTACTTATGCTTATAACATTGTTTGCTAGTGGCCCAGCATAGTGCTATTCCCAGATCACCCCAGAACCAAGGCTTTCTAGAGAGGACCATGGGAATTGTAGGCTGTAGCAAGGCATTCTGGGAAGGAGTGCCAGGAAAGGAGCCTTCCCTCAGAGCAATAAGAGATTTAGAAACAGCAGGCTTTTCTCGTGGGTTTCTCTAGGTTGGACTCTAGAAGGAGCATGGGCAGTGACTAAAGGTGTGTAAGAGAAAGTGTGTGCCAAAAGAGAGGAGAATAGGGCTGGTGGGTCTTATTTTTGTTTGATGACTGGAGGGGCTTTGTTTAGCAAGTGCCTTTGAGATGAAGAAGGTGACTTGTGTACTGAAGCAGGGCTTGTGGAAAGCCTAGGGTTAGCATCTGCTTCCTATCAGGGGTCAGGGTTTCCAGTACAGGGAGGTGGCTTGTTTTGCTGGATTCTTGTGACCAGGCTGGCTGTTTGTTATTGGAACTTTGCTACCTCAGAAGGGTGAAGTTCAGTTTTGGTTTGAGGGCTAAACCGCTACTACAGAAAATGGAAACTGAGGCAGGAGCTGCATCACCAGAGGAGGAGATAAGAGCTCTGTAACAATACTGTTACGTATTTACATATTTTAGACATAAAGACCCTCACTGTTGTTATCCAGACTGCAATCTAAGTGAATGCTGAAGAGAATGTAAATGTATTTCCAAGTTTCCAAAGCATTAATACATTGACTTCAATATTTGTGCACCACTAAATGTTTTACAGTGAGAAGACAAAGTCCTTGCTCAGAAACACTTTCAGTAAAAATAACAAATATGCAGCATGAGGAAAAATTGAACCTAGAAATATTATAGTGTGGTAACAAAAGAAAATGCTCTTTTTTAAAAAATACAAACTGCTTTAAAAATTGCTGATTAAATTCCTTTTGTGAAATTCAGCTTATTTGCAATGTTATTTTCCAAACCTCTGTTTTACTGCAGCTGGGCAGCTATCATAAATCTGCATGTTTCTTCTTGGTTTAAGCAGAAACCATATATGCCCTTGTAAACATTCACTCTCTACCGCCTGTCATTGTTATAGTTTGTGTTTTACAGTGATTTAATACAGTCAAATTGCAAACGACCTGAAAAATCACTGTCTTCTATTTCTTGGTCTATGAATGACATTTGTATATGTTTTTTAGTGAGAATGTTGGCTGATGTGTTGTATGGATAAGAGAGAGGTGTTTTGGGCCCAGGAGAGACAGAGTTGTTTCAAAACCCTTCTTCACTTATTCAGCATTAAACAATTAATTGTGCTTCTGGGTTTGCATCTGTTACTGCAGACAAACTCCCATTGCAACATCCAGCTAATAAATACATTTTAATAGCTTATTAATTGCACATGTTAAAGCATTTGAAACCTAAAAAGTAATGCTTCCATTTTAACAACCTCCCTTCTTTCTTTTATGTTTGCTGTACAGTGTCTTTTATATTATTATTTGTGTTGCTAGGACCCTCAGTCATGGACCAGGACCCCATTGTGGTAGGCACTGTACAAACACAACAAAACAAAAAAAGAAAATTCTTGTTAGTCTATTTAGTTTATACTAAATTTCTAAAAAAAAGGGGGGAAGAATCCATTGTAAATACCCCTGAACTGCTGAGGTCTGTTCCTTTTCAGACAAAACAAGACACATCTGAGGAAAGCAA